ATATATATATATATATATATTATAACTTAATCTATTATTTTAATTAATTTTGATTTATTAAGTAAAAAAGTTATAATTTTATTTATAATTCATTTTAACTAATCATATGTCAAAAATTCTTTTTTAAAAATATATCCAATGAATTTCAAATGAAAAATTTATCTACCAATAATAGTTGAACATGTAGTTTAATATGATTTTTTTTACCATTTGTTAATTTTTAATGTTATTAAATATAATTATATAGTTTTAAAAAGATCAATTTCAAAATTATCCCAAATAAATATTGTTATTTATAATTGTTTTATTTTTTAAATTAAATTATAAATAATAAAATAAGTCTGATACTTATATTGGATAATAGAGAATTATAAATCTATAACATAATCTATAAATATTTGAATTATACTAAATTATATTTTTATATTTTTGATATTTTTTAAATATATATTACAACTGTATGAATATATTCAATTTTCATTCCATTTTAATTGTGAATACAATGCAATGCAATACAATCAAAAAAACAAATATTATTAATATAAATTTATTCAACAGATGTTAAATTTACAATTAAAAAGGGTAACACCCTGAAAATTGCCATTTTTGAGAAATAGCACTAATATTTCATCATCTAAGTTTCAATACTCAGATAGCACAATTAGATAGCAAAATTAGATTTAAATAATAAAAATCTATTTTTAAATCTTTTAATTCTTATTTTTTGCGTATTTTAATGTCAAGTAAACATTATATCATAAATTTAAGGTTCTTAAAAATCATGATTAACAACATATAATATAAGGAATGAAAAAAAGTTTAAAATTATTAAAGAGAAAATTTTTGTTAATTTTTTTTATTACAATGTGTACATTGAACACATGATTATTAAATAACTTTTATTTATTTAAAATCATAAGATTTTCAATCTTCAACATTTCACTTTCCATTTTATAAAATATTTTTTTTGCGATATTAACAATTTCTTTCAATTTTTTATGTTGAATTATTTAGAAAAAATAATTATTGATTAGAAAAAATTATAAATTTAAATTAAAATTAATTATTAAAAAAAATTATTAAGAAAAATTTCAAATAAATATTAATAATATTCAATATAAAAGTAAATTTTCAAAATATATATTTATTGTATATATTAAAATTATTTAAATTGTAGAAATAAATTATAAAAATTATTTAAACTAAATTATATAAAACTAAGTAATAAAAATATGGTGAAAATAAGTATTTCCTAGTTTAAAGATTAGCTTATATAATATTTTAAAAAATGTATAAAAATAGATAGAAGTTATAAAAATTACGTTTATATTATTTATTTATGTTATGAAAAAATGTGATAAAATATTGTCGTAAAATGTTGTCTTTCATAAAAACTTTTTTATAAGATGTCCATAATATATGTAGAATTTGATTGTTCCATTTGTAAATTTTTAATTTACTTATTTTTTGTTGTGCTGAAATAAATATTAATATTACAGTTATATTTTATATTAATATATATAAATTAATAACTCATACACATTAGAATTATATAAAAATTAAGATATCATACATATCAAAAACATTCTTATAATATATATTGTAATTTTTTCATTGGTACTTTTAATGATTTTAAGTATATTTTGAATATGGTTATGCACATTATCAAAGAGATCTTTTATTAAAATACAAGCACGGTTTGCTTGTAATATAGATACTTCTTTTAATATCCTCATTATAGTCTTTTTAGAATTAATTGTATGATCTAACATAACTTTTGATAATCTAAAAGTCGCTACATTATTTAATCGCATTGAGAGATGTCTAAAAAAAATTTATAATAAATTTATAAAGTTTATAAAATAATAGAAATAATAATATTCTTTTTATAATAGTATATATATGTACTATAGAATTACTTACTTCAGAAGAGATGATTTATTTGGTTTTGAAAATGATATTGAATGATACAATGCTGTATCTGAACGTTTAAGCCCTATTTCTAATGTGGTACAATTAATTTTATAACCAATATAAATAATATTGTTCACAATTTTATTTCTGTCAGAAATTAAATTACTTTGAGTTTTAGATTGTTTGAAATAACAATTATATTGAGGAATTCCTTTTTTTGTTAATTCTAAAAATCTATTTCATGATACAGAATGATTAATAAAATACAATACATTATGAATTTAATAACAAAATTACATGTAATTTATCTTACTGTTCTGCAAAAATTTTATTTTCAGTTATATATAAAATATCATCCATATATTTTATAATTTCTCCTGTTTTTAAATATGTTGACATTTCTTTATTTAATATATAGTTATAATATATATCTGATAAAATAGGTGATAACATTGAACCTTGAACAATTCCTTTTCCTATGATATGAATATTTTCATTTATTTTTATCTATAAATTAAAATATTATGTTTCATCAATTTTATGTTCCATCCAATTTTAACAATATTTATATAATTCATAAAATAATTTTTTTATTTTATTTCTTACCCTTTGATAAAAGATATATTTTGAGATACTTTCTAATAACCAGTTTTTGTTTATTAACTGATATCGTTGATTATCAACCGAATTTGCATAAAATTTATCAGATGGGAAAGGTAGTTGCAAATCAGAAAAATATTTATGATATGTATCTTTTTTTGATATTTCAGATTTAATTGTATAATATTTGAGTACTAAATTTTCTGGAAGATCCTTACAAAGTGATTGTATAATGTTATATAATTCGACTAAATAAAAATTTGAGATTAAAATTTCAATATATATGTATAAATATATTAAATCTCAAAAAGTGAAAATAGTTATACCCTGTACGATAGAACCAAAAGCATTTATTACATCACAACATACAAAATATAATTTTTCTGTTTTTGAATTAAGTTTATGTTGAACAATTGATTTCCATTTTTTCGGAAAATTAATAACTTCATAATTTGTGGCATATAATTGTTTTAAAAATTTAAATATTATAAATAAGTAATCAGCATCATGAGATCTAATAAAAAATTAAAAAATAACTTTTTGATTAATTCTTTTTAGAATATAAAATAACTTACTTCTTTTTAAGTTTAAATATAGGTCGCACATCTGAATATTTACATAGTAATTTATATATGCCTATTGATGGATTCCATGTATTACGTTCAATATTTGGTTGTAATGTATTTGAATGTATTCCTTTTTTAATAAACTTTTTCTGGATATTATTCCAAGTAAAACGTGTAATATATAATCTTTCATTAGTATTTCCAGAAACTTTTGTTATATGAAAGTAAGTATATAATATATTGAAAAGAAATTCAATAAAAAACCATTTCACAAATTGTGCTATAACGAGCCATTTTGTTTTTACATTTGTAACATTTTGTAACCATGTAATGCTAATAATCTAAAATATATAAATATATTTTTATATCTTATTATATAACTTAATTATATTTAAAAAAACAATTACATACATCTAATTTTTCAATGGTAGGTTTTAGATTAAAATATTTAAAACAAGGTGTATCCAATAATTGAAATGTAGCTCTCTTTATTTTTTTAAATTTTTTATGCTTCCAAATAATCTTTTAGGAACTACCTTAGCAAATATAAGATCAAAAAAATTTTTCAATTGTTTTTTATTAATCTCATATATGCATTTTGTTTTTTCATTATACTTTTGCTTATGAATTAAATGCTTTAGAACACTATAATAATTAAATTTTTTATGTCTATTCTGAAATTTTTTTATAAGTAAAAAATAATCTTCATAATTAATAGCAATAATATCCTTTCTATTTGCTTTTGTAATAAAATCGTATATTTCGTGTCCTTTTTTATCTATGTTAAGAATACAAATTGAAAAATTTTTATAATTAGTATAATATGGTAATATTTGAGATGTATTGCATAAAAAAATATTTAAGTTTAAATTATTAAGAAAAATATTGTGATATGTTATTTCTTTATGGAAGTTTTTCTTCTTTCTCATCTTATATTGTTCATTTTGTTTATCATTCCTATTTGTGTTTTCTTGAATCTTATATTGTTCATCTAATTCTAAAATAATAATTTCATATTTTAAAATTAATTATAATGAATTTGCACATGTTTTAATATATTTATTGATATAAATGATAAAAATAACAAATTTATTTTATAATATTATAAATATATTATAAATATATGAAAGAAGATTTGAAAATATACTTGGTATGTAATAAATAGGATTTAAAGAATTTATAAATAATGCATCTCTCTGTAATTTCTTCAGTTTCCTATTAACATTGAATTTAAAACGATCAATAGCAATTATACATTTTTTTAAATCACAAACGTTAGACACTATAAAAGCACTATATTTATTTTTTTAATTAATATTTTATGATGTAAACAATACCTAATTTAAAAAAAAAATTAAATGTATTTAAATATATATAAATAATTAAAATAATAAACTTAAGAATACAAACTGTTGAAAATGTGTGCCAAAATCTTTTTTTAAACTTCGCAAAGTAAAATTATCCATCATTTATATTTTATGATTAAAACAACACCCTACAAAATCCAGCTTTGTTAGACGAGAATCTAAATTTTCAAAATTTAATATTATATTCTCATTTGAATAATAAAAGGAAAAAAACTAACTAGAGATGCGATTATTACGCTACCAATCAAAATATATCTAATAAGATATATTTTAACATGACAGAAATGTCATAGCAATTTTGTCATAGCAATGAATATGAATTCTATTATCATAACATTGAATGTGATATTACGATATACATACAATTATGATATCATATAACAAAAATCATGATATTTAGTGTTGCATGAAAACATACCTTACATACACATCGTAGCAATCATATCTTCTTTAGTAAATTTTTTTTTCTAGTACTTCAAAGAATACGATATTTGATTTTAAAAATCTAGAGTCTTATTCAGCAACTATGGCCAAATCTATTTTTGCCAAATTTTCGAAATTCTTAATGCAAGTTTTATTACCAAAATGTCATCAAATTTGATATAAACTTTGATTGATATTGTTAATATTGTTAACAAATTCCCATTAAAAATATATCAAAATTTATACCAACGCTTACACCAAAAACGCACTAAATCTTACACAAAAGTTGCGTCAAATCTATTCTTTTAGATCATGTATTACTTATAGATATGACTCTCAAATAATTCTTGTGAAATTGTGGAAATATAAAATATGATCTTATATTATATGATAAAATAATGATTGAAGTTTTTATTTTTAAAGCAATGTATAATTATTTATAAAATGCAATTTAATAATTAATTGTTAAGTCTGAAATATATTTTTTATTTTATTATTTGTTAATTTTTCATTTATTCTTATCATTATCATATAATCATTATTCTTATAATTCTAAATAACTATTTATTAAAATATTCATATATTTCGGAAATTATAATTTCGAAAAAATTAATTTTAATTGAGATGTTAATAATATTCAATTCTTAATTATTTTTTTATTTTAGAGAAAAATTATATATTCATAATTATTAATTGCAAAAAATAAAATAATTTTGATATATTTATTTTTTATGCAAGTTTCGAAAATAAAGTATTATCTTTAACATAATTTTATACTTTTAATGAATCAAAATTTAAAATAAATGCAATTTTTCAATTCAGGAAAATATCATACTTTTGTTGTTTTTTGAAATTCTTCATACAATATGTTGCAATATCCATTATTAATAATTATTTAAAAATTATTCAAGGATATTGTAATTTTATATTGTTTGTGCTTAATAAAAAATCTCGCAGACGCCTTTCACAGTCTTTCTATTCAGCGATATATGGTACATATGATTTTATTATATTTTATTTACTATATATATTCTACATACAGCGATATATACACGTGTATATATACAGGTATATATAAATATGACACTTTGAAATATATGTATTTACTTAATATTTAATTCAGAGTTGTCTGATAACGACAATATTTTTTCAATCACTGTAGTCAATTCCTCTCCGGCAAATTTCCGCAAGAGAAGAATACATGATTATTTTATATCATTATTTCCATATTACGTCATTATTCATGTTAGATAGAAGTGCATTACGCACAGTTATCGGACAAACGCAATATGTTATCCATCACTAAAAGTAACTCAATTTCTCTAAGGAGTTTGCTTTTTTAATAGAGGCAGTATTGTATTTATAATGTCATGTAACCTGATACAATAGTTACCAAATCAAAGTCAAGCATCGAAAATTCGTCGAAAAGAAATAAAATATATTTAAAATATAAAAAGAGAAACATATTGTCGATATCTAAAAATTCTAATATCTATAAATATATTGGATTTATCAAAATCAACCAATTAAATATTTTTTTTCAGAGGATATTTTATTAGTCATGCTTATAACATATTTGATACAAAATTGCATTTTAAATTATATTTTAATTACAAGTTGACATTACATTTTTTGCGTTATTTTGTTTTAATTTGACTCTACATTTATAAATATTTATAAATATAGATATATCTAACTTTGTATAGATATATGATCCAAGCCTTGGTATCAACATATATATATTGCTCTTTTCAGAAATTCTTTTATCTATAATTATATTTTTAATTATTTTTATTTATATTTTTGAGTTATACCAATAAAATTAATTAGAATTGGATTAGAAAATTTAAAAAATAATAAAGTAAATAACAATTCGCATATTTTAATTTCGATTTTAATATTATTACAAACAATAATTATAGCCAATTTCGTTTTTCTTCAATTCGATTTTCTTAAATATTAATTTTCTTAAATTAACCATAATTTTATTGTATTATTATGCAAAAAATAAAATTTGATTATTATTTATTTGAAATAATATCGATCATAATTCAAATCTTATTACAGAGTGTTAAAATAAAAATTCCAAATCAATTTTTTTTTACATTAATCTTAAGAAAAAAAATTAATTTTAGAGCACCAAAAATTGTTAATTTTTTTTTTGTATCCTTTAACCTTTTGATGAATAAAATTCAAAAATGTTAATTTTAAGTTTAAAAATTCATTAATTAATAAATTATTCATATATAAAATTAATGATTTTAAGCGTATTTGATAAATTTATTTAGATGCCATATTGATTTGTAATCAATTAATCATAAAAAAAGTCATTACATGAGAATGATGACAATTTACATGCAATAAATCAAAATTGACTATACAGATATGTGTATGTTTTTCTGATTTATCAGTACAATATATATAATGATATAATAATCATGATTACAATATAATTCAATATGATTATATTGTATTGAAAAAAAAATACTTGAAATAATAAAATAATCATTATATCCCGGGAAAGAAATCTATTTATCTATATTATATGATAAACTCAGTAATTCGAAGATATTATTTATTTAATAATATAAATTGTTTTAATTGTCTCTATTAATAATGATATCAAATTTATGTAGAATTTGATTTATCGCGCCTACATAACCATCACTTATATACAAATAGTAACTCTGTTCATTGGACGAATTAATATGGCGTCTTAGTAACTTGTCAAATGAATCTCAAAATCACTAATTTTGTATACAAATAACTTTTGAATCAGTGGATTTCTAAATTTAAAGTTAACATTTTTGGATTTTATTTATCAAAAGCTATTAAAAGACATAAAAAAATAAAAATTTTTTGGTGCTCAAAATGAGTTTAGTCGAAAAAAATAAATATTATATACTGAATTGATACAAAAATAAAAACATTTATGTTCTTGAAACAAATTGAAACTATCTTTCGTAATTTTTTATTGCTAGAAAAGTTCTGTTGTGCGTTTATTGTATGGTTTCTATCAAAATTAAAAGTTACTTTCAAATTTTACAGTATAAAAATAGAAAGAATGTTTTTTTTCAAATTGGAAGTACTAATAACTTATATTAATAAATAAATATTAAATTTTTCATAATTTAAAATAAGAAATATAAATTTTTAAATTTTGATCAAAAACAATATGAAACATTATAATTTTAATTTTTTTTAATTTTCAAAATTATTAATTATTATTAATATATAATTAATTATAAATTATATATAAATATTTTTAGAAATATAAAAAAATATTTTTATTATTTAGTGAAAATTTTTTAATTTTTATATTTTTCTTTTTCTTGATTAATCCAGTAATTGTATTTTCTTAGATTGTTTCATATTATTTTCAAAATGCTATATAATTCATGTTTTTACAATATAATTATAATTCATATTGTTCCTTTTCAAAAAGAAATATACAAAAGCACTATCAATCAAATTGATAATAATAAATACAATTATATATAAGAATATAAAAAATGATTCATATTGTATATTACTCTTATAATTATTATCTTATATAAAAAAAGCTATTTATGTAATTCAAATTGTCGCACAAAATAATATATTGCTTTGAATTACTTTTTTCAAAGCAAAAATTTAAATTAAAACCATCAACATATTGAAAATGTTATCTAAATAAAATAAATGTCATTAATAAATGAATTTTCAAGATGAATTCAAGATTATATTAAAATAAAGAAGAATAAAAATTTGCATTTGTTGCAAATGATTTAATGAATAAGCAATCTGGCTTTTGTGTTCGTCTTTTTTTTGATTTATTTTTATATTATTTTTGAAAAAAAAATTCATTTTGCTGCAACTAAAAGAATTGGAATAATGTAAGTACAAATTTTACTTATTTTAAGTCATTTTTTTATAGTTTTTAATCTTTTAATTCTTTCCAATAATATTCTAATAAATCTTATAAACATTAATGTCTTTAGTAAATTGTTCTTTTTAACGTTAAGATATTATGATAAACAAAATCAGTTTGTATTTAATTGTTTTGATTCTTTGATTTTTATATTCATCATTTTCTATTGATAAACTCAATTCCTTAGAATAATTTTATTGATCTCAGTGAATTTTTTTTTCTATTTCTGAAACAGGAAATCTTATTGAAAGTAGTTGAATTTAGTAGTTTTACTATTTATATTATTATATAAATATATATTAATAATATATATTATTGTAATTTTTAGTAATTTTATTTACATTGTTAACTTTTTTAAATCTTCTCTAAGATATTTCTATTTCATAAATATCATCTTTTCCTTTTTCTTTTTCTTTTCCACGTAATATTTCTCGAAAATCGACAATACCTTCGATTCCTTCTAGATATACTTTTTTGTTCGTTCTTCTTTGCCTTCCACCGATAATAATATTATTTTATATTGAACAAGTTTAATAATCTTTTGTTTTAGTTTATTCAATAAAGATAGTGACTATAAATAAAAATATTTATCATAATATTATTATTATTAATAAATATATAGTGTTATTATTATTATTAAAAATTTATTAACAATAAATAGAAAAAAATTAATTTCAATATTAAAATCAAGAAAAAAATAATTATTTAAGATGAAAAAATAAAATAAAATAAAAGAATATGAAATGAAAATTAAATTATATGTGAACGCACGTGAAAATCTCGCAATTTTGATTTCACAAATTTGTGAAAACAAAAATCAAAAAACTTTTTTTAAACTTTTATAATTTGAAATAATAATTATATTGGCTATATTAAAAAAATTATCTAATTGCTTTTTTTTTAGATATTCTTATCAAAAATTATTGTATAATGATAAACGAACTCATATATATTTTAGAAACATATATTCGTTTGTTTGTTTTATAAAAACAATTGTAATAGTAAATATTTATACGAATGATGCTTTTGTTAAATGTATAATTTTTTTTATATTGATGTGCGTATATCATTGATAAACGCATAGAGATTAATTATGTTATTATATTAATAATATATTTTATTATACAATGCTATATATATTAATCTACTAATAATCAATTCTATTTTATAATTGTTGAAATGCAAGAAAAATGTATAATCCAATGCATGAAAGCTATACATTAAATAGAAACATCTTATCTGCAAATGATTATTATTATTATTATTTATTATAAAACAAGGGAATGTCATGTTGTTTATTGTTTTTCATTTGCTATATATAAAAGAAAAGCAAAAAAGTATGATTTAAATAAATTCAAATCATTAAATTTATTAAATCTTTGATATTAAATCTTTGAGAAAAAGAATATAGTTTTCACAAAATTAAATTTGAAGAATTCCTTAAGAAATCTTAAAATCTTTGGTTAGAGTAAATTTTTTTAGTATTAGTGATAGTAATAACATACAAATTTTTTTTTTTATAATAACAATATATAAATTTTGTTTTCGTTTAAATTGTGGATTGCATTAATAAATGAGAGATGTATGTAAAAATTTTTCTTCTTTTCTTTTATCCTTCTTTATTTTCTAATATTAAAATGAAAAATTAAATATTATTGCTTGAAACTTTTCACTAAACATTTAATATCTTATTTTGTAAAAAATAATAAAATTATATATATAT